ACCTTCCAGCGGCCCCGGCTCCTGGATCGGAACACAACGAAACCGGGCGGTGGCCAACGCCACTCCCAGAAATCGATGGGATCATGGGCTCACTTTTTGAGTAGAGTGGCTCAAAACTAAAATGGTCTTTCCAAAAAGTACAATGTGCAGGAGCTCAGGAAGTTGAATGGATGAGCTAGATCAGGCCAGTAGCTGGGACAAAGCCACTCAGTACTGCTGCGATTCCTTGGGGTATGCTCTGCCCTCATGGCTAAAGAATATGTCTGATCGCCTCATTTCTCTGAAGACCAAATGAAGCACACTTCAGGACTGGCCATGACAATCACAACCACCTTGCTCAAATGTACAGCTTGGGTGCAACAACATTACTATCAGCGCAAACAGCTGCATCACCCTGGATGCCAATGCTTGCACCGCAGCGCAGCAACAGCTGAGTGGTTAAATTTGCATTCACGTATCAAACCCTTCCGCGAAACCTTGCGCGAAGCTTCCGGGGTGTGAAGGGTACCTGCCGCAAGCATGCTTCTTCATAAGTTTATAAAAGCGCTTCCGCGGGCCTTCCGCAGGCAAGTAGATTCTGGAAGCTGAGGAAGGTAGCTTCCGCGAGGGAATTCGTGTGCACAGTTTGCTAGTGCCACAACTAAACGAAATCAAACTGCTATGCGCAAATCAACAACGTCCCTTCCGCGAACTTCCGCCGGAAAAACAACCTTCTGCAAACCTTCCGCGACCGCAGTGCGGCGCTACCTGTTTTGCTGATGCCTACATCTCTACATGTTTCGCTTCGGCGTAGAAAAAAAGAGCCACTCAGCTGGCCTCAAGCGGCTTACTGGCATCACCAGCGGTGCATGTGCGGCTTCAGCCACTATCTGCACCAATTGGAAGGCTCAAGGAACCTGTTCAGGCGAACCTTGTTCAACTTATTTTCCGCCACCACCAACCTGCCGCTATAGGTGCCTTCTGCTCTCAAACACCAACCACAGGCAACTCAGTTTCTCTGGCCCTGCGCGGCCTGTGCAGCAGCGGCATCCCGGCGTGTTGAAACTCCTGGGCGCTATGCAGGGGCAAGACGTGTTTCGCCATTCTCCCAACGCCTCGCAGCAAAAACTCACAATCAGGCAGTTCTTGCGAGGCCGTTTCTTGCAGAAGCAAACGCTACGAGTCTGCCTTAAGAGGAGGGCATGAGAAAGTTGAGGCACAATCGATTCAGCCGATAAGGAACTCGCCCTTGAAAATCCACCATGCTGGCTACATGCCTTGCAACGACTCCAATCCAAGGCAAGAGGCAATGCCAACTGATCTGCACATCCTCATTCTGGAGGTCACGTGCGCTATGGTGCCCTGGGCAAACATCGGCCAACACCGGAGCTCTGGACAAGCAAGTCTTGGAACGCAAACGCGCAACGCCAGCCAAGATATGCCTGATATGACACTTGTTGACGTTCAAACGAACAGCTTTGGGCACGACATGCTTCAACCCCCCCTCCCCCCAAAAAAACAACAACAACAACAAAACAGCGTTACCGTGATCTCTGACCATGAAGGGAACCCTGCAAAGCCGGTTGGGCTTGGCGCATCATGGTCACATCTGCTTGTGCCCGTCATCCACTTTCTCGGCGAAGCACTTTGGGCCCTTCAAAGTGACATTCTCAAATGACCATCTAAACTCTAGACAAATGGAGGGCTTAAACTTTGCCGCCCTCAGATCCCCCGCTAAAAGCTTAACTGGTCCATGAAATGGAAACCCCCACTCAACCAACTAAAAAGACAAAAACCTAAGGGATCGGATGGCTGAGAGCCACCAAGTTCAGGGAATCCACGCGTAGTTCAAAGGAACCTTTCTCTGCCCTTTTTCTTTTGGTGGAACCCAGGCATGGCATCAGGTTTCCGGAGGCTGACAGCTCGGAAGCGAGTTGCATTGGGCAGCGCCGCCAGGTCTTCCAGCGAACTCAGGCCGAAACACTCCACAAGCTCCTGCGCAGTCACGTGACAGGCCCGGTGCCGGTTCTAACTTCAGGTGCCCTCCCACCCTTTTCACGTGGAACCTGACGTTCGGGAATCGGTCCCTTTAAAAGGAAAATGGTCCAAACCAGGACCCCTCGTCAGGTTCCATGTTAATTGGTGGAAGCGCAGCTCCTTTGAGAGCATATTGATCAGTGCAAGAAGCAAAGCAAACACGCAAAGCAACCCTTGAAACATGGGACAAGCGCTTTGTGTGTTTTGCATGTTTGTCGAGGACTGCCTCTCCACTTAGCCAAGTCGTGTTGTTCCTGCTTTAATCACACTCAGTGTGCAGTTGCGCTACCTTCATGTCGGGCATCTTCCGCGTTGTGAGGGGACTGCTGCTTGTTCTAAGTTGCTTCTCCCTGGGACCAAGTCAGACCCCTTTTTGCCTTTTTCCCACATGTGTTAGTTCTCTCTTGCCTTTTTGCCTTTCCGCTGCAACAGCTATGGGTTGCATTACAAAATAACAAAAGAGGCGATGCCGAGGATCTGTTTT